ACTCATGGTAGTTGCTATATTAGGAAATAAAATGTGCAAGCACCGCATGATAATTTAACGCACTGCTGTGTATGTAGATATAAGGATATTGCGGTATTTGATACATGTTCCTAAAACCCTCCTGTTTCATTTTCGAATTGCAAGTCAACTTTGTTGTGAACACGTATGTAAAGTATGACGGTGTTTTCTACACGTTACATTTGCTGGATGATGAGGAGTCCGTGACCTTAAAACGGAGACACGCTAGGGCACTGTATACTTTCATCAGCCTCAGAAATTCCGTCCACATACAGCGCAGTCGAAATGTTTCAACACCAGTCCATTGAAGTTTCATAACACTCAGGACATGCTTTTTTTTTCCTTTAAAGACCTGTCACATGGAAGAATCATACCAAAGTATAGACAAGGAAGTGAAGAGTTGGCGCGCTACATCCAATATCCAATTTTCAAACCTTTTCGACTGGCCCGCGTAGACCTGCTTTATATAAATCATGTAATCATTACCTACTAAGGCAAGCCGCGATCATAAAAAAGCGATAAGTACTGCTATCTTCCTGATAGATACTACAGCAATTACATCATCACTACATGACATTAAACATTACCGGTGAAGCAATCATCTGAGCACGTGACACACATCGCGGCTTTGCTCGAACCCTTCGGCACTGCCCCGGAGTTCATCTTACCAATCCCTCTCACGAGTTTTTTCAAGCTCGCAACTTTTCAAAACTACAGCCAAATTACCCATTCAAGAAATCTGTTACATGTTTAAATATTCCTACGACTTGGGTGAAACTTTCAAAATGTGTTCTCTTTTTACATATATACAGTAAAACCTTGGATTGCGAGCAAAATTCGTTCCGGAAACGCGTTTGTAATCCAAAGCACTCGTATATCAAAGCACTCGTATATCATATTCTTCGTTCTTTCGTTAAAGTCACGTGGATTTCACACCTGATGATGATTGCTTGTGTTGCAGTCGAAACGCTGTGAGAATTTTATTGTTTGAAATTTTTAGTATTTTATTATTTCCATTCTCCGTGACTTTTACCGAAAGAACCAAGAATAGGAATCCCTGCAGTCATGAAAGCTTTAAATAAAAATTCACTCGTATATCAGTTGTGATCACGTGACGCTCGGCAGACAAAGCGTATACGCACTACTCGTATTGCAAGACCTCGCTCGTTTATCAAATAATTATTTATTTAAATGCTTTGCTCGTCTTGCAAAACACTCGCAGACCTAGTTACTCGCAATCCAAGGTTTTACTGTATAAACAAGACTACAAAGTGAGGGTAAAAAAAAATGTAATGTGAATATTGGAGGCCGAAGAGAAGCCCAGACCATAAGTCTTGTTTTTGAGAAAATGTTTTAAACATTCAGCGATGCACACTGTGCAGGCTTTGGTGACAGACTGTTGAAAATTGGAGATACCTTGCACAAGCTGTTTGTCCCAACCCTTTGAAACATCGACAGGGCTGCCTGCCACTGAATACTCTGGTGGGCATTTGCATAAGCATTTCAAGGGAAACCCGCTGACAGAAACGCATTGAAGGAGTTGCTGCTCACATCGTAGGCTCCCGAAAAATAAATAGCAAAACGCAATTAAACGCAGGATTGTGGCCCATTTGAATTTGTGAAATCAACAAAAAGGATTGATGTGTGGTTACGGGTCGGGGTGTAACATTTATTTTATATTTATTCACACCGTCTGTATAATTTAAAATACTCGTGCTTTCCTGCAAGATTTGGTAAGATTAAATATCGTCCGTACACACCAATTTGTACACACGAGAAGCGATCAGTAGACTTTAGCAATGCAAAGTTGAAGATAAGCAGATTCACGCTAATTTTGTAATTTTATTTTCAATAAAATTATCACGGTGTGTTATCTCACGTAATTTGTATACTGAGCAGAGCTTCAAATAAGGACAAGAAGTGCGATTGTGACATTTTTATTACATGCGCTAATATATGCACACATGCGATTACATATAATCTGGTATTTGTTCGTTCTATTTTTGACATAATGCAATTCCATCAAGTAGACAAACGGGCAGAGACAGGCTCTGCCAGAGGCACTGTAAGACTTAGTTTTTATTTTCTACAAGGTTACATGTGGTGGAAGACTGTTTCAAGCTACGGCAGGCTTAGCAGTAAATTGGACCCCCATCAGAGCCAGACCCTAACAGCTGTGGCAGGACCTGCCAAAAAAAAAGAGTTCTCCATTTCAGCCTGCGTTATCTCACACGACCTAACGCATCACTTCAGCGGTAATGTACATTAACGGACGAAACTGTGAAAGACAGGTGACCTACGCGGCGCAACGGACGGCGTACCGATGGCCATGCAAAGAGAAATGTAAAAGGGTATGTTAATGTCGACATATGCCAATGTCAAGGCTGAAATGTCACACCTGTGGCCCAGCCGAAGGGAATGCAAAGATGACATTTTTAGATGCTGCTATAAAGAATGAGACATGGAAAGCAATTTCGCTCTCTTCTTCGTTGTTAATGTTCGTGGCTAGTCAGCCTTGGACTGATCCTAAGGAATAGTGGTCAAATTGAATTCTAGATGGCAAAGATTATAGAGGTTAAAAAAAAAAGCTTTCAAGCTCCCCTGAACAGAATATCCTGAAGGCAGAATGTTCCTTCTGATCTCGTTGCTGCAATCGCTACACTCTCTCCAAATAACTATTCAATTATCATCGACCAACACAAAAAAAAGTCTCATGTATCGCTGCATTGTTAACAAAATGTCTATATTTCTTAATTAAAAGAGATATCATAGAGTGCCGGGCTGCATTGTTGCTGAAAAAGCTACAAAGCGCAATCAAATGAGACTCTGCGGTAGTCGCTAAGGGTGGAAATGGTGCATCGATTGATTCATATTAACTCTTGAAGCTCACGATACATACATCGAATATGTGTAAGAATCGACGATTCCAATGAATATGGCTTATACGAAATTGATCCATGTCACACCTGCAGCCACTCGAGGTGGTTAACATTCACCGACATAGGAAGAAATTACATATTTTTGACTTACTGCAACCATGAATTGTGACAAATCATCAAATCGGCTGAATGGGTGAATTGTTCCACCTCTGGAAGTCACAGTGAGTTATTGTATATTTTTATGGACAGCCATTCCGAGAAATAACATTTATTGGTGACATGGAAAATGCTCAGTCACAAATATTCTGGGGCAGGATAAGTCTAGGACAGGCTTTGATTTATACTGACAATTTAGTCACTACATAAAGTCATAAATACAAAGGTACTTCTTCTTGCACCCTCGGATTTATCGCACACCATCACTAATAACAAATGTACGGACATGAAAGCAACACACTATTGTTCTGGAAAGGATTTCGCATTGTTTAGTATTATACAGAGTCTGCAAAGTAACGTCCTTATTTCTGTATAATGGAGTAAATCACAACCGTTCATCAACAACTGCTGGTGAGAGCCTCCACACTTCGTGGCAGTTGTGGATTTTGTTTGACCATACTTCCCCACACTGATCAGTGCAGATTTGTGAAAGGGGTCCCATCCAGGACTGGTTTTAAGATATCACTTGCCACTGATGTTAGCCATGGCTGTAAAGTGAGCCAACCACTGCACCACTGATGCACTGAGAATAATGCAAGAAATGCATGAGTGTAGTGGATGTAGCCAACACGTGCTTGTTCGTGACGGTGTGCAGATCATGAAGGGAGCCGTTGTGCAAAAGAAGTTCAACATAAATACACAGCGCGCTGCGCTACGAACCCAGCGACCCGAGTTCGATTCCCGCTCACGACCAATACCAGTGGCGAATATTCAAACTGGTCCTGGGCCTCCGCTAGGTTGACTCAGCCTCAAATGAGTACCTGGTGCGGCATGTAAACATTGCCGCTGGAGAAGCAAAGGCGGCCGGGCGGGCGGGCGACTGGCCACCCACCCTCGTGTGTGCCATCCCAGCCTTCATAGGTGCGAGCTTACAGCACTTGCCCCAACAGTCTGCTAAGGCTGTACGGGGGTCTTTATCTTCATGCAGATTAAAAGCGTGATGAGCTCTGAGTGACTGGAAACATTGCCTCCAATCAGTGCAATTAAATTGCAAATGATAAAAATCAAGAAAAGTAGCCCAGGGTGTATGGCAGAGATGCCAGCTATGATGGGTTTCACTGTTGCAAAAACACCTGCAAGCAATGCAAATCGTGAAGTCCTGCCACCGTCCCATTGTTGAAAAAGAACACCTGTACACGCAGCGTGAATGGAACGTATGCTTTACGTATGCTTATGTGAACATGGCTGATGATGACAGGCGATGCTCATTACTCACATAAGTTGTTATTATGAGCTTTACCGAATGCTCAAAAACACCTGCAAGCAATCCAGCACAACACATATTTCATTGTACTGTATCAGCCATTTAGTTTAATTAGACCCTTTAAGGCGCATTTACATAAAACCCAAGCTCTTGCGTGAAGACAGGAACGGCGGCGGTGTCACAATCTATGACAAATGCGTGTCAACATCATTAGTTCCATGTCAGTGTTTTTACCATTTACAAGAGAGTATTCATACTCTTTGGTTCTTTCGGTAAAGTCACGTAGGTAGAAAAAGAATAGATCACGACGTTTCGATCGCAACACAAGCAACCGTCATCAGGTGGGACAACCACAGCAAGAAAAAAACAGCTGTGTTGCCATCGAAACTTCGTGATCTATTATTTTTCTACCCACGTGACTTCACCGAAAGAACCAAAGAGCATGGATGCCTGCAGTCACGAAAGCTTCAAATCAAGATTTAAGAGAGTATTCCTCAAGCAGATTTTGTTCCCTTCCAAAACGAACGGTGACAATCCGAGCGATACCCTTTACACGGCAATGCGGGCACAACTTTGCGTTGCGCAATCCAAGTGCCCGGCGCATCACCGCGGAAGAGCGGAATAAAAACGCAAAGTGTCGACAACAGAGCGACGGGATCGCGGATCCAGGCCAGGGCACCCACCGTTAAGAACAGGAAGAAGACCCCGGGGCTTCTTGTCTTCGCACTTGTTGCACTCGCTGAAGTAGAGCAGCAGAAATCCGTCGAGCAGCACCCACACGAGCGACGTTGCGAGCACCACTTTGCAGTAGGCGATGCGCCGCATGGTGCACCGCAACACCGCCACAACGGCGGCGTCCAGGCAGCTCCCCACCGCAGGTGCAGCGCCCCCACGTCCCACACCTCCCCGCTACGCCCACCCCACCCCGAGGCAAGAGCGAAAGCAGAGAGATTCACGCTCGTTGTAACTTGCGCCCACACCAAAGATTACAAATTTGCGATTGCAAAAAGATGTCGTGCCGCTGGGTATTGGTAAATGGCTTCGTGGTGTTGCTCTTGGTGCATTTGTTTTAATGCCAAATATTATGACCTCCACGTGCAACCAACATGGCAAAGCAGAAGGCCAGACCGCCCCGCTCCGTTCAATCCCTCCGGTTTTTGCGGAACAAAACTGCACTGTGTGGTGGTGGAGACCCACAAAGTGACTTCATATCATTAGGAATTGAAGGCAACGGGCGCCAAGGTCACAGTCTGGTTATAGATCGCGTCATAACATTGCATTACGTGCCGTCCACATTTTCAACTCGGGAGGCACGGACGAAGCTGGTATTATTTCTTAGACCTAGAAGAAAAAGAAGAAAAGTACATATATTGCACAAGGTCAATTTACCGTAACCTGCCACATCAACGATAATCAACATAGAGCGTGCCGTATGCATGGCACGCCTTGCAGAATCGTGGATGGTTTGAAGTAAATAGCTCCTTTGACAATAATTTTTTTGAAGAAATGCATCAAAATGTAAATAATAAATGCTGCATACAGTGACTTTCTGCATAAAAAATTGAGTATTTCAATGGGTACCACCGTTTCACGCGAATTCTGCATTGCCGGAGGGGGTGCTTGTAACATTATGCAGGACTTGGGTAAGGTGTCACTAAGGAATTAAGATGATAATAAAAAATACAGCTAATGTCCAACAATAATAAGATCCTGACATCATTATTTTGGTAAATGGAATAATTACCATGAAACAAGGGACCGTGGCCAACATTTAAAATTACATGATGTATAATCATTTAAAATGTAAAATATAAACTGAATATTTAACCAAATCTGAAACAAATAGGTTATTCTGAACAATCGTATGATGATAAATGCCTCGGAGTGAAAATGCATATATGTTTTTTTACAATTTAAAATACGCTTTGAAGCCAAATAATTTTAATCAGGCCTTTCACAAAAATGAAACGTTATACATGATGGCAGTGCTCATGAACAAACACGTGCTATTTTTGTTTGCCAATTCCATTTTAAAGCTGCTCAGTTGGTTGTATTGACAATGCGTTACTGCCGAGCCAAAATTCGTGAACGAACGCGTGTGTGATGCACGCTCAAGGTTTCACGTGAACGTGTATTGATGTGAAGAAACAAAGGCATTCAGGTGTAATTGTGCACCTTTAACCAAAGTTGTAAAGAGCCTTTGTATTTTAATTGAGAAACTGAATGAACATTTTTTTTTTACCCAACTTCAAATAAACAGCATGGAATTAAACAGTGACAGCTGGAAGTTGGTGTTAGTATTCATGTTATTTTTCTTCACAAGTTATTCATATCATACATATAAGAAACGTTGAACAAGCTAGGCAGTGTGAACACAACAATGCATTCTATGACAGACAAAAAATATATTACTCTAGTATATCATGTATTCCATGGTACATGTATACAGTGTTCTTATGCCCCTGGGTGTTTTGTATGGCCCGTAATTTTCGTTCTGAGCATGCGGTGCTAATTTAGAGCTGAAAAAATATTACATCACGAAAATGTCACAAGCCAAAGCACTCCCGCCTCTCGTTTGGAAAGTGCTGCCAAGTAAAACGCCAAGCATACAAGCAGGTTTACAATTCCATCACCAGTGAGAGTGTTCTCATAAACAGATGTAGGCAACAATATGGCTGCATCTGCTGCATCTACTGCATGCCTAACATTTTCATGGGAGGAAATGTCACTTTTTATTTGCAAAATTCACAGAATAAACTGCAAACTGTGACTAGTTATTTTATACACAACTCGCCAATATAGTATCCAATTTTATACTGCTGCTCACGATGAAGGCATCTTTATTAGTTTAAAAAATCGTATGATCTACACATTTATCTTTTTGGTTCTTTCGGTAAAGTCACGTAGAATGGAAATAATAAAATAATAAAAATAAAACATAATAAAATAATTCTCACGACGTTTCGGCCACAACGCAAGCAGCCGTCCTCAGGTGGAGAACAGGTCTGTCGAGAAAAAAAATCTACACATTTCTTTGGTGAATAAAAGTCAGTGTCTCCTGAACCAAGCCAGTATGGGGGCATTTCTCTATGGAAATAATTGTCAGTCCTTAGACAACCACTGATGACTTCTCACCATTGACTCAGGTGGGATTATTGGGTGCAAATACTTCTTCTATCTAACACGATTTATTTGACTTGGAATTTAGCCCGATGACTTGCAAACCCACCTGGCCATTTATTAATTCTCCACCTTGTATTATTATTCGTAACCAATAATACCGAGCAAAGTTGGTGAGATGTTAACTACCTCGCCTGGTATGCAGGAGGTCGTGGGTTCGATTCAGACCCTGATTCCTGTATATTTGAAGTTTGCATGTCCTCCCCGTAGTCTTGTGGATTTTGGCCTCCGAGTTTTCCCTCCACGTTTAGAAAAACGCGTTTTAGAGTATTTGGCTGCTATAAATTTCAAATTCTTAAACGACTTTGTTGAGCTATAATTTGTGGCCAAATTGCTTCTGAAAAACAGCTATATAGCTCAGTGGGCTTAACCTGGTAAAATACAGTTTTAGTTTAACCGCATGCTCATGGTTATAGCTCGGGCATTGCTGGAGGTAAGTGCCATAATGACTTAAAAGCAAAGTTTGAGTCAAAAGTGGGGAGTTATAACCAGGAGGTTTTTTTTCCTTTAACAGGCATGCATTTTCTTGGCCAATTTCCCCAATCCACTTCATTAAAGTTGACTGAATAAATGGCAGCAATTTGTGGAGGAGGGTAAAAAGCCTACCCGAAAACCCCCTGCACAAAAGGTCAAATGTGGCTTTTTTTGCCACAGTTACAATTCGCTAAGGACACCCCAAACTGCATTGTAAATCATAACGGAGCCGATGCCAGGCTCACAATAATTAGAGCAGCAGAGCTGGCCATAGTATGACACTCGGTTTACAATGCGAGGTCCGGCGAGATGGAAGTGGCGATTGATGGACCCTGAATAAATGGCACCATCATTTACGAGAAATACTACAGCAAGTATTAGGCTGCTGACCTCTATTTTAAATGTTGGATGTCATCCTCTCATTTTCCAGGCGTTTTCTCTGGATACTGACATTTCCTCCATCGCGAATAAGACGAATAGAATGAGAGATCGGCCCAAACAAACCCAAACAAGATTGAGAGATTTTCCTGGAAAAATTAATGTATGTTACCACATTAGAGAGCAGCCGGTTTTTCACCTGGAGAAGCTCTTGAGAGAAGAACCACCAATGTATCTCCTACTCCCTCGAGCCCCCCCTGCCTCATTGAGCTTCCAGCCATCCTCCTATCGCCCTTTGTCCACCATTCCCCTCCTCCGCACCCATTATCCCCTCGTCCCTCCTCCACCTCTCACTGCTTGCAAGCTCTCATCTCTTTTCGATTTTTTACGATCAGATGAAACAAGAAGATGCTCGATGTCGTCGGCACTTTGCTTCGTTCATCATGTCGGCTTTTTTCCATTGCTTTGCTTTATGTGCTCCCCCCCCCCCCCTTTTTAAATGAAATTTTCCCATTGTGAAATAAAATCAATCTGTGCTACTTTCTTCGTAGACACAAACATCAACACGAAGAAGCATGCTCTGCTCCTCATCCTTACCCCTCTCTCTCTCTACCCCCTCTCTCTCTCTACCCCCTCTATCTCGAACCCGTCTATCTCTACCCCCTCTCTCTCTACCCCCTCTCTCTCTCTATCCCCTCCCTCTCTCTATCCCCTTCTCTCTCTACACCCTCTCTCTCTACCCTCTCTCTCTACACCCTCTCTCTCTACACCCCCTCTCTCTACCCCCCCTCTCTCTATCCCCTCTCTCTCTACCCCCCCTCTCTCTCTACCCCCTCTCTCTCTACCCCCCCTCTCTCTACCCCATCTCTCTACCCCCTCTCTCTACACCCTCTCTCTCTACACCCTCTCTACGTTCCCCCTGTTTTCAATGTATTTCCCCCCCTCGGTTCGCTTTCATTCATCTGCTCCATCTGATCCCACACCATCGCTCCCTGCCCCCCTCCCTCTCTCCCCTCCTCACCCTGTCCCCTTGGTCTCCCTTGTATCCCCTTCTCTACCTGCCCTCCCCCCTAATAGTCCTTCCGTCCGTGTTCCCCTCGGTTCCTCTAGTCCAGTGGTTCTTAACCTTTTTGGAGGTACTGAACCCCACCAGTTTCATATGCGCATTCACCGAGCCCTTCTTAATTGGAAAAATAAAATATTTTTTCAAATTCAAAACATAGGTATATGTTTTACTGGTGCACAATCATGAGTCAGGTGTGTGTCTTAACCTCCGCCGAACCCCTGAGACTGACTCACCGAACCCCTGGGGTTCAGTCGAACCCAGGTTAAGAACCACTGCTCTAGTCCCTGTTTTCCTCCTCCTGGTCATCCGCCACCGACACCCTCCGATCCCGTGATTTGCCGAGGGGCGATGCCCTTCTTCTTCATCATCATCCCGCTTCTGATGCTGCTGCCTCTCTCGTTTTTTTACGATCAAAGGAAACAAGAAGATGCTCGGTGTAGTCGGAACTTTGCTTCGTTCATCATTTAGTTTTTTTTGTTTTTAATGCTTTGCTTTATGCCCCCCCCCCCCCCCCTTTTTAAATTAAATATTTCACGCTCTGCTCTCCTCCTTCTTACCATTTCCTCTCTCTACCCCCTCTCTCTCTCTCTACCCCCTCTCTCTCTACCCCCCCTCTCTCTACCCCCTCTTTCCCTACTCTATGTCTATGTTCCCCCTGTTTTCTATGTAATTTAGTTTTTTACTACAACTCACACTTCGCCCCCCAACATCACCAACGCCATCCACACCACACGAACACCGATGCCTAGTTTACTCGCCAACTACGACTGCGGCGATGTTAAATCATCATCGCCGCTTTTGTTGTTGTTGTTACAGCAGCAGCAGGAGCAGCAGCAGTAGTAGCAACAGCAGGAGCAGCAGCAGCAGGAGGAGCAGCAGCAGCAGTAGCAGCAGCAGGAGGAGCAGCAGCAGCAGCAGGAGCAGCAGGAGTAGCAGCAGTAGCAGCAGCAGGAGGAGCAGCAGGAGCAGGAGCAGCAGCAGTAGCAGCAGGAGCAGCAGGAGTAGCAGCAGCAGCAGGAGGAGCAGCAGCAGGAGGAGCAGGAGTAGCAGCAGCAGCAGCCGCAGCAGCAGCAGCAGCAGCCGCAGCAGTAGTAGCAGCAGGAGGAGCAGGCGTAGCAGCAGGAGCAGCAGCAGGAGCAGTAGCAGCAGGAGCAGCAGCAACAGGAGCAGCAGCAGCAGTAGTAGCAGCAGGAGGAGCAGGAGTAGCAGCAGGAATAGCAGCTGGAGCAGCAGCAGGAGCAGCAGCAGCAGGAGCAGCAGCAGCAGCAGCAACAGGACCAGCAGCAGCAGGAGGAGCAGCAGCAGCAGGAGGAGCAGCAGCAGCAGCAACAGGACCAGCAGCAGCAGGAGGAGCAGCAGCAGCAGCAGGAGCAGCAGCAGCAGGAGGAGCAGCAGCAGCAGTAACAGGACCAGCAGCAGCAGGAGCAGCAGCAGCAGGAGGAGCAGCAGCAGCAGCAGGAGGAGCAGCAGCAGCAGTAACAGGACCAGCAGCAGCAGGAGCAGCAGCAGCAGCAGGAGGAGCAGCAGCAGCAGCAGCAGGAGCAGCAGCAGCAGCAGGAGTAGCAGCAGCAGGAGGATGAGGGCAGCAGCAGCAGCAGGAGCAGCAGCAGCAGCAGCAGCAGGAAGATGATGAGGGCAGCAGCAGCAGGGGTCCGTGTCCCCTCGCTCTCGGGAGCCACTCACTGAGGGAGGGGGGGAGCAGCCGAACGTCGTTCGCTTGTGACGGGTGACGCGACCGGCAGCCCACCACGCAACTCGGCTGCGTGTGCGGTTCGAGGGCTCGCAAGACAACCACCACCACCACCAACAACAATAACAACACCACCAACAACTCGCAACTAAAACTAAAATAACTCGCGGAAAATTTAAAAGTAGGAAGCCGTCAAAACCTCTACCCCCCAAACAAACCACCACCACCACCCCCCATTTAACTTACCTGGGTTACAAACCAGCGGAGCGGACTCAGCTGCCAAGGCGTCGTTGTTGGTTGTTGTTGTTGGTGGTGGTTGTTGTTGTTGGTGGTGGTGGAGTGCTGACGAACAACAACAAAACTCCTACAGAGACCTCCTCCTCCTACTCCTCCACACACGTTCGAGCGGCGAGCCAGCGAGGAGCGCCTGACAGGAGAGTGCGAGACTGGGCAGTAGGAGCAGGAAGGAAGGAAGACGAATAAGCCGGGCGAGGGGGGAGACACACTGAGGGGAGAGCTGAGAGGGAGAGCCCCTGGGGGAGAGAGGAGAGAGAGGGGAGTGGGGGGAGCCCCTGGGAGAGAGGGGGGGGGGGGAGCCGGCGTCTACTCCACGCCGCCGCCGCTGCTCCTCCTCGCGCTCCCCCTCCGGGCAGCGAAGAGCCGCACCGCCCCACGGGGGTGGAGGCGAGTGGTGGACGCTACTAAGTACGCGCACCCCCCCCCCACTCGCCTCAACGTCGGGGCGTGGGCGTGTCCAAGTCGCGAAACGGCATTGTTCATTGGCTGCGGCGTTGTCACGTGGTGAGACGAGTCCATCTCGTGGCAGGGAGTAGGGGGGGGGGGTGTTGGAGGCGCGTGGGACGCGCGCGCGCGCTGGCGACAGGCGTGGAGTTAGCGGAGCCGCTGGGAGCCGCTGGGAGCCCCGCTTCGTCGTAATCGCGGCTCGCGCGATGACGACGTCGTAATCGCGGCTCCCGCGATGACGACGAAGCGTTGCGATTGAAGGGGTTGCGATTGTTCATCCGTGGAGCCCGCCGGAGCAATTGGCAACAGCTGGGACGTGCAGCTGTTGACGTCCACGAGACTTTTAACAGAGCGCCGGGGGGTGGGGTGGTTGTGGTGGTGGTTGTGGTGGTTGCAGGCAGACTGACTAGCTTGCTGCTGCTGTTGTTTGCTAAGGGGCATGGTGGATGGAGATGTGTGGAGACCGGGTTCTCGAGGCCAGGGGACCAGGTACTTCACAGCTCCAGTGGGGGGGGGGGGGGCTTGGTTTGGTTCTCACTCGCCTCCCCACGCCCCCCACGCACCACCGAGTGACCCGTCCCTGCCCACTGGACATCGGTGAAAAAAAGCTTTATAGCTCATCGGATTTCTCGGGTAATAAATAAATATTCTGATTCAGAGATGCGGCCCCCTCCATCCCCAGGTTTGTGGGGGGGGGGGGGGGGGATAGCGGTGGGGTAATTCGCGTCTCGAAACCCAAAACCAGAAGCGAATTCGTGCAACTTAATCGGACCTTCGCATAGCTGGATGAGTTAACTCCGATTAAAATGTCTCATCCTAATTGAAACAATCACCCCTGTTTTAACACGAGAGGCTTTACGGGAAGAAACTTTCGAACAAAAGAGCCGCCGGTGCAATTCAACAGAAGACACGAGCCGATAAGGGGCAATAATGTTAGCAAGGCGACATTCGGATTATTATCACGCGAAACAAACACGGCATTCCAAGATTTGCAGGGACAACTTGGCCACGTTTTTTGCTGTTTACCATGAAATGGCATCTCTTGCAAGGCGCATTCCCCCCCCTCCCCCCGTTTTTAAAGTCCCCACTGTTGTTGTATCTGGGCCATAAGCAATCCCATTCAATATTAATGACCGGAGCCTGTGGAACAGCAAACAATGCGCGCGAGAGGACATTTCATATCCCGCTGGCAGAGACATCCCCCCCCACGTCCCTCACCTCCCTCCACGTGTACGAGTCGTACCTGACGTGCAGACAGATGTGTCTGTAAATAACCCGCGCGTGCATGTATATAAACCTGCGTGCGTGCATGCTAACCACTTAGACTCTTCATTCATCACGGAGCCGTCACTCCGGGCATCAGGAAACCTCCCGGTTTGAAGCTCCAGAAACGTCTTCTTGGTTTTTTCGGTAAAGTCACGTAGAAGGGAAGTAATAAAATAATAAAAATAAAACATAATAAAATAATTCTCACGACGTGGCCGAAACGTCGTGAGAATTATTTTATTATGTTTTATTTTTATTATTTTATTACTTCCCTTCTACGTGACTTTACCGAAAAAACCAAGAAGATGAATCCCTGCAGTCACGAAAGCTTTAAATCGAAACTCCAGAAACGTGTTCGTCTTCGTCTTACTCGCCAACTTTTCTGAAATCTCACTGAAGAGCCAATGACATTTGGTGATTCGGTGTTCAACAAAGCCTGCTGCCTCTGCTGATGAGATCCAGGAGGTCGAAACCGAGGCATCATTGCCTTGCTTAAGTGCCTCCATTATATTTTGTGCCAAATCGGCTGATTGGATGTAATTTTCGTTGTGTGTGTGTGCGTTGTGCGTGGAGACGGAACGGAGTTCTGATTATGTAGCTCAATGAAGCGATGGATTGGCGTCACAGCCTTCCCCTCATACACACAGCGGGTGCGATAGCCGGAGCAGAATGCACAGAATGCACGACAGACAAGAGCTGAGCGCATCGTTTTTCATTCTGTGTCGTGTTTTATACCATTTGTCTAAAGTTTGTTTAACATTGACAGTGTCGTTCCCATGCACATCTCACGCGTTCATCACGGGGTGCACGTAAGCCCAGAGCACACCTCTCACGCACACACGTGAGTACACAGCGAGCACAACAACAACCTCAAAGACACCCCAAGACCCATCCCCCCATTACCCTCCCGACAGACACCTTGACAAGCACAGCACAGAGACATCGTGTTAGCTAGCACACAGACACATCTAAAAACACACAGAGAAGCACACAGCACAGAGACATCGTGTTAGCTAGCACATGGACACATCCAAAAACACACACAAAGAAACAGCACAGAGACATCGTGTTAGCTGGCACACAGACACATCCAAAAACATACAGAGAAGCACAGAGACATCGTGTTAGCTAGCACACAGACACATCCAAGCACACACATAGAGAAGCACACAGCATAGAGACATCGTGTTAGCTAGCACACGGACACATACAAAAACACACACAAAGAAACACACAGCACAGAGACATCGTGTTAGCTGGCACACAGACACATCCAAAAACACACACAGAGAAGCATAGAGACATCGTGTTAGCTAGCACACAGACACATCCAAGCACACACATAGAGAAGCACACAGCATAGAGACATCGTGTTAGCTGGCACACAGACACATCCAAGCACACACATAGAGAAGCACACAGCATAGAGACATCGTGTTAGCTGGCACACAGACACATCCAAAAACACACACAGAGAAGCACAGAGACATCGTGTTAGCTAGCACACAGACACATCCAAGCACACACATAGAGAAGCACACAGAATAGAGACATCGTGTTAGCTGGCACACAGACACATCCAAAAACATACAGAGAAGCACAGAGACATCGCGTTAGCTAGCACACAGACATCCACAAACACACACAGAGACAAGCACACAGCACAGAGACATCGTGTTAGCAAGCACACAGACACATCCAAACACACACACATAGACAATCACACAAGAGTACACATCCTTACAGACAGACCTCACAGACACAGGGACGGAAGGGGAGCACAACTCACAGACGCACCGTGAGCACACACCTGGCAGACGCACGGAGAAGTGCATTTCAGTCACACGGAGGCGTTAGGAGTGCACACATCACAGACGCACCGAGAGTCGGCGTACAGCCCCGGGGCTGCCTCGTCTCCTCCTAAAGCGTCGGGGAGTCCCACCCGGGTTTTGCCGCTGATTTATTGTGCTTGTCGCTCGCCTAGTTGTGGAAATTTCTCAACGCCAAAAGGATTGCTAATAAATTAACCTAAAGGAGTGAACTGTTGTATTCCCAATGCAACACCCGCGAGGTTCTGCGAATGCTGCGGTCACTCCGTTGTATCCGTTGCGCATATTGTGTTTAACTTACATCGAATTGCATTTTCAGCTTCTTGTGGCTGGAGATGATCGAGTTTCAATGAGAGTGTTACTTATTTAAAGAGAGGGATGTACGCAAATCAGAAGCGAGCGTGTGTTTGTGTGTGTGTGTGCGTTCTCGGTACCGTTCACCAATTCCTAACGTTATCGCCGACATCAAAGCTTCCGTTCGCTGTATCGCATTTTAGAGAATAGCTGTATATATTGATATACAATGCGCGGTATATCACATCTTGCCGTTCCATGTTTAATGTTGTGACCCGAAAGTGCCGCTCTGCATGTCACTTGCAGAGAGCGCGTATAATGCAGCACTTCGACATCAAACGGGCACGGCAACAACGGACTCGTCAAATTTCGATTTAAAGCTTTCGTGACTGCAGGGATTCATCTTCTTGGTTCTTTCGGTAAAGTCACGTAGAATGGAAATAAAAAAACATGATAAAATAATTCTCACGACGTTTCGGCCACAACGCAAGCAGCCGTCCTCAGGTGGAGAACAGGTCTGTCGAGGAGACAGTCAGACTGTCTCCTCAGACTGTCTCCTCGACAGACCTGTTCTCCACCTGAGGACGGCTGCTTGCGTTGTGGCCGAAACGTCGTGAGAATTATTTTATTATGTTTTATTTTTATTATTTCCATTCTACGTGCATTTTGGCGTATTCGAGAGAGCCACTCGCCAATGTGCGAGACGACCCCTCCCGAATCGCAAAATCTTCGCCAAATTTCTTCACGAGCAACTGCATTCGCGGAGACATCTGAATGCACAATGACACGCGAAGGGACTCCTCGCATTTGCAGTGTCGCGGAATTTTTCAAGGGGGATGGCTTCCAGGGCCCACCGGCATTGGAGGCGTTCAATCGATAACAGCGGCAGCTGAAGGGGAAGTATGCGGGTCCATCGGGAGCTGTCACAGCCCAGGCAGCCTGGCTTTTCCCTACAGGGCTTTTGCTTGCGCCCAGCGCTGCTTGCTCGCCTGCACGGGGGCCTGAATTGTGTATCACCGTTGCGTACAGAAGACACGCATTCGTTAATAAAGAGTACACAGAGATGACCTTTATTTACGATCGCGAAACAACCCTTTGAGACCGGAAATCTTCCTAATCTCCAGAGACCTGGGATTAAATATATGCAGAGAAGCAGGCAACGTGTTGGCAAAAGAAAGCAGGGAACACGCTCGTTCGAAAACATTGAACACCGTCGTCATGACCGGCCATGATCTATCCACTGCTGAATGAAGGCCGCTGCCAAATCGTCGCCAACCCTCATTGTCCCCGTGAGCCGATTTCGTAGCTTCTGCGGTGACGCCTTCTGCTGTCATTCTGTCATTAGTCTAGACCAGGGGTCGGCAACCAAAATAACAAGAAGAGCCATTTCTTTCAAATTCGGTACAAAATTCAGTATTTCAAGAGCCGCAATGCATCTGAGTACATACGTA